CAGGCCCGTGGTTTGAGCCTTTCTGGTCTTCTGGGAGGTGCATTCCTCTGGGATTTTGGGCTGTTCCCTTGGAAATGTCCCTCCTTGAAGAGTTCCCTGCAGAGCAGAGGAGCCCTCCCTGCGAGGTGGCAGTGACAGCGTGTGCACGCGAGGATCAGCGCTGAGTGCTCCGAGCTCTGTCTGGCACAGGGAATGTGCTGAGCTGGTGTGAGCTGCAGGCCCTCATTCACGCAGCCTCCGTCCCGCGCTTCTTCACGCTCCCGTGAGCCGGGTGAATTTGCCAGGGAGCTGAGCAGCGTGTTCAGTTTTCCTGTCTGTGCTTCTTACACTTTTGCCCACCCTAATCCAGTTCTTCGCGCCACGATGCAAACTCTAATTATAAATCAAATCATACAACCTGCCTTCTCAAACTCTTGTCTCATTCAGAGTTTTCTTTTATCCTTGTTATTTGATGTTTGCTTCCATATTTTATTTATTGCATATAATTCAAGTGCTGCGGTAAATACAGAATTACTAATTGTAATGGATTTTTGTTACACTTATCACTACAGTGTCTGAATACTTTTTAACCGCTATTAATGAATCTTCACAATATTGCAGAGATTTTCCTCTCATTTCACTGATTAAAAGTGGGGAAAATAATGACAAAACTGTCAAAGTTCTCCACTGGGTCTATGTTCCCCAGAGGAAAGAAGGATTCTTTAAAATCTAGTTTTTCTGATAATAAGACATCCTATTCTAGCAATCATTTTAATTGTACTCAGGACTTTAGATATGTATTTGCTGCTAACATAACCCTGGAGTTCAAATACTGTCTTCAAGCCATAGTCTGTGTGTACAAACTCACCCTATCACCCCTCCCTTGTTGGAGTTTGCTGAAAGGAAGCTTCACTTCTCTCCTGACAGATTCCTTGCTCTTGTAACCAGCTCAGGGAGCTTTCTCTGTGATTATTCCAGTTATCATGTGTCATTCTTGAATAGAAACTGTACCCAAAATTCTGTAAGAGAGCTGTTGCCATAACATCTGGATGTGCCTTCCCTGGTCGTTAGATCCCATTTGTCATCTTCGTTTCTGTGACTAAATAACACTCCTGAGTCTCCATCCTTCCCTGGCTCTGGTGAATTCCCAGGTTACAAGAGTTTTGGCTGTCAGTCCCCCTGTGAAGAGCCTTGTGATTTGCATTAATCTTATTCCACCAGCCCATTGCTCAGGGTTCCTGTGCTGGTCCAGAACCTCATGCAGGTCTTCATTTAGGACACTGCAGTCTCCTGCACTGGAGCCCTTGGGTGCTGTCAGTCACCACCTGCATTAACACTCTTTTTCAGTCCCTGGTGCTCGTGTCACTTACAGCCCATCAACAGCACCAGTTCTGAGAGCAGAACTTCAGGAGCTTTCCAAGCACTCTCTCTCTAGCCTAAAACTTCCCATTTCAGCATAATCCAGCTCTGCATTTTTAGTCGTTTTTTACCCACAAAGCTTCTCTTGCACTGACCTTCATCTTTTCCAGTTTGACTGGTATTTTTACATGATGCACCAGAGCAAACCCTTTGTTGATCTGGGGATGGGTGAGATCTACTCTGTCTTCCTTTACCCAGAAAAATTTGCTGCCCCATCAAAGAAAGGCATGAGCTTTGGCATTATTGCAACCTTTGTTGTATTTTATCTATTTCCTTTCCTCTACATCTTTTCCCCCTCCTGAGGACGAATAATTTAAGTTTTGCATCTCACTGAGGTCAGGTTAATTAGCCTCTCCTTGTCTGGACATTACTTTCACCATCTTTGGCTTGATTTTGGGGTGGGTTTTTTCCTTTCTCCCCATAATAGGATGTCAAATTTAGATTATTTTTGTACCTGTAGAAGTGGTGGAAATTAATTCACTCATTTGCATCACAACTCAGCTGTAGTGCTTCAAGTTTGGGTTGGGTTTTGTTTATTGGGTGTTTTGGTTAGGTTTTTTTTTTTATTTTTATAGAAAGTTGCTGCGCTGTGGCTATTAAACAGATTAAAAAATATAATTTTGGAGTACTTGCAAAGTTCTTTAAAGCATAATGATAATGAGCAGATTCTTGAGCAGTGGTAGCTGAATGCAGGGCTCCGTTGTCCTGTGGGATGCTGATAGTGCCAGGGGCTCGTTGCAGCCCGTGGCTCATCACTGCCCTGCAGAAGTTCTGCTGCTGCCTCAGCACTATTTACTGCTCTCAGCCCTGCGTTTAAACAGAAATGAAGAGTGCTGGGCACCCTGCACACACGGACGAGGCAGCCCTGCACAAAATACCCCCTAAAATAGAGGAGGCAGGTGAGGCAATAGGAAGGCAGTGATTGCAGAGGGTCGGGCTGGGCAGGGAGGGCTGCAGTGCCTGCAGTGCCTGCAGGAAAACCCGAGGTCAGTAACTCTATTTCCTGAAGCTGGGAAAAGTCATTTTTCGAGTACTTTGTTTCATAATACCGTTAATTGCACCTTTTCTGACAGCTGTAATGACTCTGACTCCTTCTGATCACGTTTCACTCAGGATCTAATTCTAAAGATTGGGATGCAAGCAACAACCATTACATGTTTGGATTTGGAGTAGGTTTCTTGGTTTGTTTTGCCAGATATACTCAATACTTTCATAAATATTTGAAAATTATGTCTTTTTTACGATTCTTCAGTATGTCTGGAGCTCAGTTTTACAGAGGAAGCTCAGGCCAATGCCTTTGTTTTAGTGAAAAATGTGTGTGCTATCCCAGCCTCTCCCAGCAGTGCTGTTGCTGAGGTGTGATCACGGGCCTCTCTCAAGGCAGAGATAACTGATAGATAAAAATGACCCCATTTCACAGCCCCACAGCTGAACTCTGAAAGTTCCAGCAAAGCTGGTCAGAATGTGTTTGTGAGTAAATGTCACCGAGGTCCCTCCTTGTTCAGAAGGTGACTTCAGGCCGTGTGAGCTCCAGGGGTGGAGGCCTGGAGCACAAAATCCATCCCCACACAGGGACCCCGAGTGTGTGGGAAGTCCCAGCACTCCCGGGGGGGCTGATTACAGAATTCACATTGGAATCACTCCTTTATGCGAGGCTGCAGAAAGGTAGATAAGGACAATTACTGTTTGACCCTTTCTTGGCCAATGTTTGCAAGCTGCTCAACGCCGTGTTCACGTGGAATGTTGCGATTGTTTTGGGTTATTCATTTTTTCAGCAGTTATTTGTGCCTGCCTTTGTACAGCTGGAATGAAGGGACGTTACTAAGTGTTCTCCCCATAGCATGAATATTTAATAGTTTGTGTGTTCCTTCTGTGTGTCGTGTGTGTGCCGATATAATACCAACAAAATCTCTTAAAGTCAGTTTCTGCAAGAGATTTTCAAAGCACATCATGTAACTGAGTCACGGTGCTGAGTAAACCACTACTGTAGAATTTCACCTAAGGTCTGCATTTGCCAAATGGTGATATTTTGCAAATAAGCACAGATTCTGCTAACTTCCCCTTGAGATTTTATTCCAGTCTGATCCAATTTCCCAGTATGGACGAACTGGTGTCTCTTAGAAATAAACCAGAAATGTTTAGCCTATTGAAAAGAGGATTTTCTTTGTTTCTCAGATGTGCAGATCCTCATGTCCTGGAGCTCAGAGCTGCTCTGAGTGTGCTGGGCGGATCCTGCAAAGTGCTGAGTGCATGGCTAACTTTAAGGGAGTAGATCCTTAAAATCACCGCGGCTGCTGATGTTTAAAATTACGCAGAGACTTAAGTACTCTGATGGCCCCCGGCCAGTGGCTTCCACATCTCCTAGGACTGAGCCCTGAGGAGACACAGTGATCAGCTGCAGCTCAATTTCCTTCTCCCCTTTTAAATGTAAGGTTTAAAGCCCAAATTCTGACAGCTGTTTAATTAAAGATACTCATTTTAACCGTGAGGAATGTGATATGCAGCGGCGCTGCGCCTGCTTTCTTTCTTTCTGCCTCTCCTGGCATCCCAGCTCACTCCTCTCAGCGTTAGTGCAGGGCTTGCAGTTTTCACTGCTGCTCCGTTCCTGCTTTATCCTCTTCCATCTTTTCCATCTGCTTTATTCTGTTTGGAAAATGGCAATGTAGAATGTGTTTGGTGTAACCTTAATCCTGACCAGCATCTGGGCTCCGTTTGAAAAAAAAAAAAAGCATCTACTGCAAGGAAGGTTTCTGTATATGTTTCCCCACTTTACTAAAACAAAGTTGGGGGGCAGGGAGGGGCAGAACCCAAAATAACCGTTGCAAAATTATATTTATTTTAATTGACTTGTTAATTAATATGCGGGTTTTAATGCGTTTTCCTGCCTACACGGACAAACCGTGGGGTTTGTGCTCTCACCTCTGTGCGGGTGGGGGTCGAGTCAGAGGTAAACCGGATTTGGACCATTTTGGGAAAGGAGAGAAAGGGGGGAGGGGGGTGGTTATTCAAATCTGCTTTTAACAGCCTCGCCGCTAATTACTCCCGATATGTAAAAGTTAACGCCACCATAAAACACGGGATGCACTGAAATTGCTGCCCGATGCTTCCTGACGTTTCCCTGGTAAACTTTCCCAGGCCCGCGGAGGTCCCGGCGCGGGGCGGCTCCGTCGGACACGGCGGGCACGGGCAGGACCGGCAGCGGGCAGGACGGGCACGGCCGGTGCCCCGCGGTGCCCCCCGCCCGGGCAGGGCCGGGCAGAGCCCCCCGGCAGCTCGGAGGGGCCGGGGGCACCGGGACCGGGCACGGCTCGGGCACCGCGTCCCCCGCGGGGCTCGGGGCGCTCCCACACGGAGCCAGCTCCCATGCGGGGGTGGCACCGCTCCCACCCGGCCAGGACGGCGCTTCCCGGGGGGCCAGCCCCGACCCCCGAGCCCCCTTTTCCATTCCTGCCGCTGTTGGATTTTCCCGAGCCGCATCTGCTCCGCGCTCCCAGCCCGGGGCTCTTGAACTTCAGTCCGCGGCAGCCACAGAGGTCGCTTCTGAGCTCCAAGCGAAGCCTTTTTTTTTTCATTAATTATTTATTTCTTTTCCCCCAACTCAGGCTCTCCCTCCCTCATGGCCGGAGTGGAAAAGCACGTTTAAATCCCGAGCTCGGCTTTCCCACGTGGTGTCTCGCTGAGCTGCTGTCACCGCCACGCCGCGCTCTCACGGGGCACCGGAGCTTCTCCCCTGCCCTGCCGGGAAGGCACAAGGTGATGAACATTTTGAATCAAACCGTATTTTCGGGACACCTCACTGAACCCCAAACTTGTGCTGAAAAATCCGCTCGCCTCGTAATCAGGCTCTTGCTTTTTAATTCCACCTGGACCGAGTGTACAAATAATGAGGGGATTAGTTCTGCTCCCCCTTCCTGAGTGCCTGCTAAAGGGATGGATGTTTGTCGGCGATTTGGGGGTTAATTCAGACAAGTTTATTTCACATTCTGGGTCTGCATACACGCAAAGAGCACGCGTGGTTTGGGGTGAAGGATTAGTGTGCAGGGGAACAAAACCAATCGTGGATGTGAATATGGGATGTACTGGATGTGTGTCTAAGCATTAAATCGAGGGGGGGCTGGGTTTTAGGTGACTTTTCACCCCATTCCGAGATCATGGTCACAATGCACCGTGTTTCAACACCCACTGGGCAGAAAGGGACACAGAGGACAGGCAGGGCAGTACCCCAAATTGCATCTGGGCTTCAGACCGCGCTGCAATCTCTAAGGGAGGGTAAGCCCAACCTTTAATTATTCAGTTTAAACAGGCCTAGAGCACGCCACATTTTTAAGGCCTTTTCCCCTGTGTCTCTAGGAGGCAGCCTTCATCGAGCGAGGAGAGCGAATCTTGGCAAAAAGAGCACCGAAGGATGTGAACCCCTTGGAAAATTCCACTTCCTGCCCAGCACTGCGTGTCCTTGGGTCTCTCACTCATTCCCATGCACTTAACGAGGGATTTCTGCCTCAGGCTACCACACCAACTTTCTAAATAAATGCCGCGCACACCCGAGCGCGGTGCTCTGCAGTTAATCTCAGCCCAGCACCAGCTCTCTCTCCTCTCTTCCTACTTCCCTCCATTTTATTTCTCCGCTGGTTTTTCTCTCCAGCAGGCTCCAACTCTCTCTCCTGCTGAACTTGCCGGGAACAAAAGGCTCCGTTCCCGATCCAGCCCGCAGTTGCCGTGAGAAACTTCCTCGCCAGCGCTGTCTGTCGCTCCGCTCTCCCTCCCTCGCTCCCTCCCTGCCTCGGGAAAATGGCAGTGCGAGAGCTTGATGAAAAGGGGGAAAAAAACCCCTTCTTTCTCAGCGCCTGCCTCTCCGGCAGCACCCCCCTCCCCAGTCGTGACGCCTGAACTCAAACTTCTCTAAAAATACACTTTAGGAGGGTAGATTTTCACGCAGGGGATGTGTTTTTTACACCCCACTGAAAAGAGGCGCGAGGTGGGGGAAAGGCCGAGGGACAGCTTTTTCCAGACAGGAGAACCTGCTGCTGACCCCTCCCGCACGGCATCGCCAGGTCCCAAGGATTTGGAACACAATAAGTTTTCCTTCAGTGGGAAAATCCAGGCCCAGAGTTCAGATCTTTCTCTTTTTGCAGATTTAAAAGCCTTTTTTTTCCCCCTTTTTTTAACTCTTCACAGTGGGGTTCACAGCAGAACGCGGTCGCTCTGCCAACCCACCCGAGAGCTCCCAAATCTGGTGGGATTCAGGGGAAAACAGAAGGTTGGCTCCGGATCCAGTGCAGGGATTTTTGCAAACTCCAGTCCGCGTTTTGATTTTTTTTTTTGCCCTTTTTTTTTTTTTTTTTTTTTTTTTTTAGTAGATTTACTCTTCCTTCCCCGAGCGCACCGGAGCGCTGCTGTCCGAGGGCAGCCGGGGTGCACCCCCCGGTATACAGAATAAACGGGGTTCGCCTTTCCCTGCCCTTCATTGTTGTTTTCCTGCCCTTCCCGATATCCCCCAGTTTTCCCAGGAATTACTAAATTCCACCCCCACCCTTCCTTTCACTGCGGGGTGAGCGCTGCTGTCCTGGCTCAGCCCCCAATCCCCACACAAGTGCCCCCAAAACTTGCGCTGTCCCGCTTGTCCCCGGCCGGGGGGCTCGGGGCGGGCGGGGGGCGTGGGACACGCGTGGCCCAGCCCCGGCCGCCCCCGGCCCGCGGGGGTCGCGCAGGATGCGCGGGGGCTGCGCTCCCGCGTCCCTTCCCCTCCGCAAACTCCGCTTCGCTTTTTCCTCCTCCTCGCCAGCGCTGCTAAAATAATGCATTTCCTCGAGTCAGGCCGAGTCCACTTTCCTGCCTTAAAACGCGTCCAAAGTTTCGCAGATCGCTGTCAGATGTCACCAGCGGGCTCTCGCGGAGCGGCCGAGCCGGGGCTCGTCCCTGCCTGGGGGAGCCCGGCGTGGGAAGCAGCAAAAGCCCCGCAAAATCCACGCCTGCCTTTGAGCTGCTGCATTCAGCAAAGGGACAGAGTTACCTTCGCCTGGCACTCACAGCGCAGAGCCATTGTGTCTCCCCAGAAAGCGAGATTATACGATATTTTAGCATTATGTTGAAGTGGATAAGTGAGCGTTGTCTCGCACGATGCCCAGCAAACAAATAATTCAAATAATATCAGTCTTAGTGGTGATGGAGCCACAAGGAGAGTGCTTAACCCAGATACAACAAACACCGCAAGGAACAGGCTGGGCAAATATAAACACATTGAAAGGAAATGTGATTTTCTTTAGCAAAAAGCCTATAAGAGAAGCTGAGGTACGGCAAATAACCCTCCCAGCTCCGTTCCATCTCTTGCAGGGCGCCCCATGGATTATAATGGATGGGTCTCTTGTTCTCGGGTCCAGCGTGCGCATCCCCGCACGCCGTGAACAGCATCCTTCCCCACGCAGCTCCATCCATTCCTGCCCAGCTCCCCTCGCTCTGCCCTGCTCCCGCTCCTTCAGACTTCATCTCGGGAGCTGCAGCCGGCTCCGGCAGCCGGATCCAGTCCGTGTTTGTAGCCAGGGAAAGGCTGGATAATGATAACTTGTGTGTGCGAGCTGAGCCGAGGCAGCGCTGACTTTAGTCCGGTTTCCATGTCAACGATTCAGTCCATATTTGCCATCACACAGTTGGCAGAGCCCGATTTTTTTTTTTTTCGTGGAGGGGGGAGACACTACTCCTGTTTCTAGTACTCTAATCTAGACCAGGTTTCCTAAACTGCCTTAGTGCTGGGTTAAATGGCACGGCCACCTTCATGAAGGAGACTTCCAGTCAGGAGGAGCCAGCGCGGTGGCGGTGGCCTGCAGTGCCATGTGAGCGCTGCTTCCCAGCCTATCTGAGAGCCAGGAGCCGGGCCGGGCTGAGCGAGGCGTGCTCGGCTCCTGGGGACACGGGGACACGGGGAAGGGAGCACGGCCACCGCTGCTGCCGAGCACGGACGGCTCCGGCCGGGAAAAGTGAGGATGTGCCGCAGGGAAAAGTCGCTGCCGGTCCCGTGGATGGCCGCGACATCCCGGGACGGCGGGAGGATTTTCAGCTCTTAGGTGGCAATGTTGTTAAGAACTGTGCTGTCATCTGCTTCCCAGTCCTCGTGGCTGGGAATTCACTGAATGCCTCAGTATTGAGTAAAGTGCCAGGGCCTCATTGATGAGGCGTATTCCAAAATCTGCTGCAGCTTTCACAAACATTTGGTAAAGTGAGTGTCTCCTCATTGTGTGGGTGGCTGGGGAATCCAGGCTGCTTTTCACATTACTATCAACACCGGGTTTCATAGTCTGACATAGTGCTCCTTGGTTCCAAGGAGGGAGTTCCAAAAGACGGACTCAGGTAGAGAGGCGTGAGCTCGGGATCTTTGCCTGGATGCAGCCGAGCAGCTTCCCAGGCTCCTGGAGTGAAGTGGTTAAACTTTTGGTGATGCTCAGTGAGACGGTGGGGCTTTGCTCCCTGAAGCAGACCAATCTTTGGGGCTGGGGAAGTGGGTGCTTGAGATGGTTCTGGGATAAAATGGCAGAATTCTCTCCAGTTTGTGGAGAGGAAGTGCCAATGAAACACCCAAGGAAGGGTGTTCTGGTGCTCTGGGGCACCACGGACATTGACAGAACACTGGGCTTCACTTCTGAGAGTCCAGCCTGACACTGGAGGAGTTTTCCCCCTCTTCTCCTTTGTCTTTCCAGAACCCAGGATTTCATCAAATAACTCCTCTGATAAGAGGATGAAGATCAATTTTCATTCTAGTACATTCCACAGTTCCCAAACTCTTCTGAAGAAGAGTATCTTGGTGGTTTTTTTCCTTCTCTGTGGTCCACACATCTCACTAAAGCCACAGGGCCTCCCATGTGAGATTTCAGCATTGTACTGGGGCTCCAACCCTTGTGAAGGCCTTGAGTACTATCACAATACCAATATCACCATTTATTACCCATTCTTTCCTAATAGTTTATTTACAGCTGAGGAGAAAGGCTGACCAGGCAATTTGCTGGATGGAATCTGCTCCATATTGCACAGTCAACTGTGCAGGCTGAGAAATGGCAAGGGTGCTTTGTTTGGAGCCTGAGGGGCAGTTTCTTGCTCTAGAAAACACTTACAATTTTGCTATTTATCACCATATCCCACCTCCCCTCCCACTTTCCAGCTTTGGAATAACCCCTTTGTTCCACCACCTGCACTCTAAACGATAAATATTTCATATTATAAGTTTTATAAATGGGTGTGAGGGCTGAGTTGCTGTCAGTAGACACTGACACCTTCACCTGATCCCCAGCAGGCACACGCTGCTGGCAGGGACCCAGTCCTGCTGCCCAAGGCTTCTCCTGCTGCGCCGGACTCGCCTTTGCTCCCTCCCAGCGGGATTCCTCGCGGTGTGTCCCGCTGGCTGCTGGGCTGGGGCCAAGCCCTGTTTGTTGTCACTGCACAGGGGTCACTTCTGCCACATTATCTGTTCTGTGGTGATGTTCTAAAATGGCAGCCTCAGACCTCTGAGTCTCTTTTGGCTCCCCACCTACTGTTTTCTGATGTTTTCTCTCATCTTAAAGTTGTATTTACCTCAACTTCACTTTTCTAAGTATTTCAATATTCCAGAGGAACACCAGTACGTGGGACCCAGGCCTAACCCACACCATGCCTGCCATTTCCACCAGACATCCACGTCCTGATTTCTAAGAACTTGGTGTTTATAACCCAAATGACTCATGTTTTTGTCCCTCCCGTGCCCCCGTGCCCCGCTGCAGCCCTGCACCATCTGAAGTTAACCAGGCAGCTTCAGACCCCGCTGGCACGGGCCAGGCTATGTCCAGGACGGAGCTCCAGGTACATTGCTCTCCTCCCTCTTCCCGCTCTGCCAAGGCCTCGTGGATGCAGGAGGAGGTGGGAATCTGGGTCTGAAAGGGTTGCAGAAGAGCATGGCCCAGTTCCCAGTTCACCTCTTGACAGCCGGGGAGCTCCAGCACGGCGCTGGGCTCTGACTGCCAGCGCATCCTGTCCCGCTGCCCAACGTGTTGTGTCTAGATGCGCTCAGGTGGTTTTGGATCTGGGAATTCCTGGTTCCGTGCCCACCGCCCTCGCCTTGGCAGGAGCGGGGAGCCGGACTTTCTTGGATTGTCCGCGCGTGCAGTCACAGCCCTGGCGCGCCGCCAACGCCTTTTCCAGAGGGACACGGCCAAGCGGAGAGGAAATGACAACCGCTAACAGTTCGCAGAGGGCTTAATTCTAAATGGAATTTCTAGGGACAAAGAAGAGGCGCTTCGGTAACCCACGGGCAGAAACCCCAGGGCCGGCGGCCGCCGAGCGGCCAGCACGCCCCCGGAGCGCTCGGGCCGCGGGACATCGCCCGCTGCCCCCGGGGATCGCCCCGGGCGGCTCCGGCCGCGGCGGCCCCCGGCTCCGCCGATCCGCCGCGGGTTTTGCGGGCGGCAGCTCCGCGCCGGCGGCGGCCGGGGCCGGCCCGCTCCTCCTTTGTGACGGGGGGGAGGCTCCGCTCCGGGCCGGGCTGCGCTCCGCTCCGGGTTTGGCAGGCGGCCGCGGCGCTGGGTAAAATGGCAGCGCTGAGCCTCGTGTCGGACTGAGCCCGCTCGGCCGAGCAGAGTCGGAGCTCGCCCAGCCCGGCCCCGCCGCCGCTCGGCCCC